CCTGGCTCTGCCTCCCGAGTGCTGGGATTAAAGGCGTGCGCCACCACCGCCCGGCTGATTTTTCAGTTTTGTTTGGTTTGCTTTGCTTTTTTGGAAATGCACACGCGATCTCCTTGTTTGGAACAAGCATGTTGAGGGCAGGTGTCGACCCCCGGGACCTTGAATTCAGAAGGCTCGCCGTGTTCCGAAGGACGCGGCTGGTGGGTTTATTGCCTGGGCTAAGTACCCCCCAGGTGAGAATGCACAGCCCAATTCCTCTCCCCTTTTCATCCCGCAGTGGCGGCAGGTGTGAGGAGTAGAGCGCACTGAAGGTTTGAAGTTTCGACTCGAGCTTTGGCCGCCGACGGCTGTAAGTCGCTCCTTTCTCTGGGTGTAAGTCTTCCCCCAAAAGAGCACACCAGACGGTGTTACAGTACGCAGGCAAGCAAGGAGTCGCGTGCTGGCAGGCTGAACAAGCAGCCCCCCTCAGTCAGCAGTGGCTGGTGACCCTGAGAGGTGACAGTGCACCTCCGGCTGCCCCGGCCTCGGTGAGGGGATCGGAACCCACTCCCTTCAGCTGCTAGCCCGGCGGCGGGGCCAAGGTAAAATCTGATCCAGATGGGAAAAGGATGGGGCATTTGTTCCAGGTCACATGACCTTGTGTGGGTCTAGGACTTAGTTTACATATCTGGAAAGTGGGGATAACATATGGGTTGAAGGACAGCGGAAAGGTTTTTGTTACCCGAAGTCGCCGTATAAAAATAAATGGTAATTAGCGGTACAGTGCTTGGGAGCAGATTTTGCTCATGAATTCCTATTCCAGAGCCTCCACAGTGGGATTTCTGGCTGGAGTCCTTGGAGTTGTTTGGGAATGTGTCACCGCTCACCCCAGATTCTCTCTGTTTCTCTCCAGATCGATTTGGCACCTGTTTCTGCCTCCGCGTGGGGGCCAGAGCCACAAAGTGATTGGGTGGTGGGACGACGCCCCTAAGCCCTCTTGCGTAGGGTAGTGTCTCTTCCAAAAGTTTGGTGCCAGAGGGGTCCCCGGGTGAGAAGAGCCAGGCTAGGAACTGGTGGGCGGGACTCGGGCAATGGCGGGGCTGGGGAGATGGAGCGCTGGCTAGAACCCCAGTGTCAGGGCACCGTGGTGGTTCCCCCACCCCACCCCACGATTTGGCGCGCGGGGGGGACCGGGTGGACGGGTCTCTGGTTTAGGGGCGGGTCCTGGGGGCGGGTCTTAAGTGTGGGAGAAAGAGAGAGAGACTCCGGAGCCTGGAGGCGGGGTTTGGGGAGCTCGCCCCACGTGGGGCGGGGCTCCCGCCGCCGCGGGCTCTGCAGTTCGGACTCGGAGCGCCACCGTCGCCGCAGTTCCCTCCACTCTGGTGGCCCCACGGCCCTGCGGGGAGTCCGGGGGGTCCTCGGGCCGCTCGGATTTGGCACAAGGCCGGGCCCGCCTCTCCCCCTCCGTGCGGCCTAGACGGCCGGGGCAGCGGGGACATGGAGCCTTCTCCCGCCACCGGAGGCTCGGAGACCACCCGCCTCGTGGGTGCGGGAGAGCGCAGCGGCGCCGGCGGCGGCCTGCGGTTGAAGAGGTAGGACAGACCTGGGCTGGCTCTCAGCCCGGGGCCACCCGACTCATGCCATCGCTCCATTTCGTTGTCTCCCTCTGCGCGGGCCCGGCCCGCCTCCCCAGCGCCCCGGGCTCCCCAGACTTGGCCAGCCGATCGGCCGGCCGCAGCCCGCCCCCGTCCCCGCCTCGCCTCTGCCCGACACCCCATTTTCTCGAGGCCAGGTGCAGCAAGTCCCCTGCCGCGGCGCCCCAAGCCGCCCGACCCCTGCGCCGCTTCCGCCGCGGCCCGGGCTACGAGCGAGCAGCCGCCGCTCCGTCGGACCGAGCGGGCCAGCTACGGCGAGGTCCGCATTGCCCCTTGAGCCTCGCCTCCCAGCCTCGGAACCCCGGCTTTAGGCCTCGGGCTCGGGGCGCCCCATCCAGCGGGCGGCCAGTGGTGGGCACCGGCTCCGGGGATCGGCTCGGGCTCAGCGGGCGGCCGCGAGGAAGCGAGGGGGCGGCGAGGAAGGAGCAGGTGCGGGCTGGGCGGCGGGGGGTATTCCCGGCTCCGCACAGACGGGGCCGGGGGCGGCGAGGTGTGAAATGAGGCGCCGAGCGGCCGGGACAGCGGGCCGGGGGCGGCGGCAGAACCTCCCCCGCACCCTGCAGGCCGCCCGCGCCCGCCGCCCGCCGCCGGCGGCTCCGTCTGCCCTGCCATCTCGGAGCGGCCACGGCGACAGGCCCTCCCTGGCCACCTCCGCTAGCCATTTTGTCTGACCGTCCGTCTGTCTCTGGAATTTGACAGGGTCTCTGGCTTTCCGTTCTTCCATCTCCCCCCATCTATTTCCCTCCCAGCCCTCTCCTTTTGTCTCCGTTGTGGTCTTCTGTGTGTTTCCAGTTCTTTCCTTGGGAGGGGGGCCTTGAACCTGAGTGGGTGGGGGAATGGGGTCAGAACGAAGGAAGGATTCTCTCTGCAGGGGACTGCAGTGGTGGGCAGCTGTGGGGCTCCAGCTGGGGCCCTGGCATCGCTTCCGATACCCTTTGGCTTTGCATCATCAGCCCCTCTCACTTGCCTAAGGAATTCTCCAGGCCTCACTGTTCGCCCCCACACTATATCGTTTTTTTGTTGTTTGTTGGGGGATTTCAGAAGGCCAGGGAGGGAAACAGCCTCCAGCCCTGGACAAAATGTAGCCACCCTCCGCACCCCAGCAGAGAGGCCCCTTTAGTGCCCACTTGATACCGAACAAAAGGGCAGCCTGTTGATGGGTGGCTACAGCCATGGCTGGTCGTGTTGCGTCTTACGAGCCTGCGGAAGGCGGCTGGCTACAGACTCCCAACTGCCCAGCATCTGTTTCCTCTTCGGATTGCATCTTCATCCCCTGGACCATTTTCATCCTCATATGACCATTAGTCACCAGATCCTGCGGGATTTTCCGAGGCCCTGCCTGTTTACCTGACCCTCCTCGGATGCCGTGCCTGGCAGAGCATCCTGGCAGACCCATTCTAGACTCTTCCATGTCCTCTGTCCCTCACTCCATCATCAAGGTCATTTCAACATGAAGATATGTGCACGGTCCACCAGTGGACCCCTCCCTCAAGCCCCTTCCTCCGCCCTTCATCCAGCACCGCACTTACACTCCAAGCTGCATACCTTGTCATTATAATTCCACCTGTCAGGAGCATCTTCTATGACGTGTGTCTCCCTCTGATACCCTCTACATCCCATTTAAGTCAGTCACTCCCCCCCCCCCCCCCCCCCCGTGCCCCAGAGTGATTTGTTTAGAACCCACCCCCCCCCATAGCCTCTCCCTGGTAGAAGCCATGTTATGCGTTTGTCTCCCACCAGGCTGGGGTCCCTTGTGTTGGCTACTGCTTGCCATTCCTCGTGGAACGAACAAGGGGGGTCTCTAAAGCCACTGTACCTCCCTGCCTGTCTCTTCTGGGGACACCAGAATTATGCACACTCATTCTCAGGCTAGGAAGGGGCTTTTCATTAAGAAATACACCTGCCTTTCCACTCCTGAGGTTCCCCCATAACTGCTGGATACCCCCAACCTCGGCTCACCCCTTCAGCACTGTCCTCTGCAGTCTGGTGGCTGCCAGTGCTCCTTCCTGTCTCCTGCTGGGATCATTTTCCCACAGGGATAATGTTACTCCTGTATTTCAGGACTGTCTTCTGGGTTGAGGTCCTTTAATTTGTCCTTAACTTGCTGGGGTACTGGAAGGACAGTGGGGGCCGTGAGAATTGGACTAGAGCAGATCCCAAACAGAGTCAGTTGGAGTCCTACCTGTGGTGTCCCTGGGTAAGGCCCCGCCCGTCCCTATTGTCAAGGGATATGTGGGCATACTGGACTCCAAATCCACTGCTGTCGCTACCACCCCAGATGTAGCCGCCAGGAAACCCCCGTCCTGTGACAACCCTGCTTGCTCCCCTGGTCTGTGTTCAGGGCTAACCTTCACCTCTTGATCCTCCTGCCTCAACTTCCCATGTGCTGGGACTGCAGACATGAGTCATCACGCCAGTTTCCACTCCCCTTTCAAAGCACCTCACTTGTATCTCCTGGCCTGAGAGGAAAGGACAGATAGGATTTGGGGACCGAGGCATTGGAGCAGAGCTAAGAGAGATGCATGAAGCGGGTTTGTGTGTGCCATGCTCTCACACTAACTTTCTTTCCTGTTCCTCTGGCGCTTTGACTGTCTCTGTCAAAATCCCCCCATTTTTCAAGGCCTTTCTCATGTGGTTTCTGTGATCTCCTCCACTAGAACTCATTTGAGAACGTCAGAATTCCTCCAGCAGCAACATCTGCCTTCTGCTGTGTGTCATCGTGTCTAGTCCACATTTGTTCCATTCACCAAGAACTCACGTCATTCAGGAGGAGTGGCCGCTGGTTTTCCGTTCCTGGGGTGCCTCTCGTAGTGTAGGATTTGGTCAGTACCTAGTCCCACCTCCACCACCTGCCAGCTGTGCGGCTCCCACCCGCTCTCTCCCTTCGGCGGAGATTTCACATCCATCCGTTAAAACATTAGCCTTTACTTTGCAGATATGGGAGCCTGTGGCCCTGTGTATGGAAGGAGAGAGAGCCCCCACATGCCCGCAAAGCTCCGGGCATGACTGGGTCTAGCAAAGGGGCAGAGGTGGGCCCATCTGCTCAGGCAGGCCCCGGGTCCGTCAGCCAGGGCGTGACCGGGTCAGTTCTGGGGTCAAGCTCGAGGGTGAACATGTCCTCCCACCTCAGTCTTTTCACAGAGCCCTCAGAGCCCCTTCCTGAGGAGCCCAAGCTTGAGGGGATGGCCCGCCACCATTGCCATAAGAACGCCCAGGCGCAGTCAGGTCTCTCTCCCGAGAGGCTGCGAGCTCGGAGGCAACTGTATGCTGCCTGTGCTGTGTGCTTAATCTTCATGGCCGGGGAGGTGGTTGGTAAGTTGGGGGGGGGACACCCCTCCAGTCCATATTCTGTACTTCCTAGGCCAAGCAAGCAGGGAAAGAGAAGGGCTGGGAGGGACTAGCAAGGCCAGAGCATGTGGGGGGGACGGGGGGGGGGGGGGGGACGGGGATTCAGGATGAACCAGCACGGCGTTTGTGGGGCCAGGCTCTGTGTGAACTGGCATTTTAAGAACCCTAGTCTCTTGTTATGAAAATCAAATATATTACTATGGAAAGACTAGAAAAAAAATGACCTGTAATCAGATGGGCGGCGGCGCACGCCTTTAATCCCAGCACTTGGGAGGCAGAGGCAGGCGGATCTCTGTGAGTTCCAGGACAGCCTGGGCTACACCAAGAAATCCTGTCTCGAAAAACCGAAAAAATAAAACAAGTACTTGTAATCTTATCGCCCGAGAAAACCCCGGTCTCTTTTTGGTGTGTCTCCCCACCCCACCCCCGCTTTCCTTTCCACACCTCACATGCTGCACATTTCCTAGGTGGGTATTTGGCACACAGCTTGGCCATTATGACCGATGCCGCTCACTTGCTGGCAGATGTAGGCAGCATGGTAGCCAGCCTCTTCTCCCTCTGGCTCTCCTCTCGGCCAGCCACCCGAACCATGACCTTTGGCTGGCACCGCTCCGGTAAAGCCCTGCATGACTCAGTGCCCACCCCCACCCCGCACCCCAGCCCTGCCCGCGCCTTAGGGCCCTGACCTGACAGACCGTTCTTCCCCTGCAGAGACTCTGGGGGCTTTGGCCTCTGTGATCTCCCTCTGGATGGTCACCGGCGTCCTGCTGTACCTGGCCTTCAACCGTCTGCTGCATAGTGACTACCACATCGAGGCGGGTGCCATGCTGCTGACCGCGAGCATCGCTGTCTGCGCCAATATGCTGTATGTCCCAGTGTGGAGTGGGCACCAAGTGGGGTCTAGAGAGAGAGGCAGGGCCTTCTTCCAGGGTAGTAGAGCTTCACCGGGGGTACCTGGGAGAGAGACAGTCAGCCGGGAGACACTTGCTGAGGGCTTACTGGATAAGGCCCTACTTTTAACAGTGTGGTCTTATCTGAGTCTATCAATCCATGAACACTAGTTTTACTTCCCAGTATCCTGTAAGAGATATGCCAAGGGGCCACCTGACTATTCACACAGCAGGGCCAGGGCCCGAACCCCCACCTCTGGCCCCATGTCCAGTATCTTTTGCCCCTGACAGCAAAACTTCTCTCTGAGGTAGTGCTAGATTTCTGGGATGGGAAACGGGTGGCGGTGGGTGCCGGAGGGGAGGCCAAGAACGGGCCATCATATCTGGCTGAACCTCTCTCCTTCTCCTTCAGAATGGCCTTTGTGCTGCATCAGACTGGGCCTTCCCACAACCATGGATCTAGGGGTAGAGGGTACGCGCCACTGGAGGAGGGGCAAGAACAGGCCATCATCTGGCTGAACCTCTCTCCTTCTCCTTCAGAATGGCCTTTGTGCTGCATCAGACTGGGCCTTCCCACAGCCATGGATCTAGGGGTAGAGGGTATGCGCCACTGGAGGAGGGGCAAGAATACCCCCTGTCCCTGGGAAATACCAGCGTCCGGGCTGCCTTTGTGCATGTACTGGGAGATCTCCTTCAGAGCCTGGGGGTCCTGGTTGCCTCCATCCTCATCTACTTCAAGGTACTGTTGTGGAGGCTGCCTCAGTCTCCCCTCCTTATTCTGCATCCCACCCCCTTTTCCTGGTACCCTCTGCTTTATTCACCTCAGCTTCTAGCTTCGCAGAGCCTCTCCCAACTCTGGGTCATGTCTGCTTCCCCCTCCGCGAGAGTCTCAGGATCCCTTCAGGTTCCGCTTGCCAAGATGGCCCTAGAGCCTTCTCTAAGAGGTATCGCTCTCTCTACAGCCTCAGTACAAGGCGGCTGACCCAATCAGCACTTTCCTCTTCTCTATCTGTGCCCTTGGGTCCACAGCGCCTACCCTTCGAGACGTGCTCCGCATCCTCATGGAAGGTGAATTGAACACTGGTGCTCCCGCCCCCGGGCTCCCTTGGCACCCGCCCCTCCTCTAAAACTGGGAGGAAGTTGCTTCAGGAGGGCTCTTGCCAGAAAGAGGGCAACAGGGTGGGGGAGAATGGGACTGGGAGAGTGGAGTCTGGGGGGGGGGGGCGCTGCTCCTGGACGGGCCCTGGCGGCAACACGGTGGCATTGGTTGCAGGTGCCCCTCCCAGCATGGGGTTTGAACCTGTAAGGGACACACTGCTGTCAGTGCCCGGAGTCCGAGCGACCCATGATCTCCACCTGTGGGCCCTGACACTTACTTACCATGTTGTCTCTGCACACCTGGCTATTGGTAAGTCAAGGCTAACCCTACCTGTGGTGATAGCCAGGCGTGTCGAGGCATTGTTTGTTCGAGACCGAGTCTCACTAACGTAGCCCAGGCTGTCCCTAAGATCCTCCTGCCTCAGCCTCCTGAGTGCTGGGATTTCACGTATGAAATACTCTGCCTGTTTTGGTTTTCTTGATCTCTCTCTCTGTCTCTCTGACACACATTCGTGTGCATACTCATGCACACACATACTCTGGAGACAAGGAGGCCTGGGCACTGCAATACCGTTTCTGAAGCCTCATGGGGACCTGGTGCCTTTAAAATGTTACCAGTACCTGAAGGACGTAGTTTGGTGATTGTGGCGGGCGCCACGCAGCAGGGTATCACGTTGCTATTTAAAGTGGTGATTATGAAGCCTGTATGGCAACTAGGGAAAATGTTTGTGGTATAATGCTTGAGGGGAAAAAAAAGCTGAATATAAATTATATCTACATTATGATTCAACTATTAAAATATATATACAGTGACTCATGAGCTGACAAAGGGTTTTTGAGTCTCTCCCAGATGCAAGAAGCAATCAGAGGCTTGCAATTTGGATGCCAAAAATATCATAACTTGTGGGATGTTGGATGGTTACTCAAGAGGGACAGTGGGGTAGGATACTTAACATCTGGCTTGTCCTGGAGAGACGGTGGTGTGGCAGCCGCATATTGATGCTCAAAGGCAGAAAGGACTAGGTAACTGGGCACAGTCTGACGCGTTAGCATGGCCCACTGGAGGGAATCTCCCTCACGGTTTCTTTACAATTTTACGCTGCTCCTGTAATGCAGTGATGCAGGAGGAAAATGAAGAGCCCTGTTCAGTCCTTTGGGGCTGTGCCGTGCTCGGGCCCCTCCGCTCCTTATCACAGCCCTGGGCTGTGCCCGGCTCCCCAGGGACGGAGCCGCCTCTTATCGCCCTCCCACAGACTCCACGGCTGACCCTGAAGCTGTCCTGGCTGAGGCCTCATCGCGGCTCTATTCCCGGTTTGGATTCTCCAGCTGCACCCTGCAGGTGGAGCAATACCAGCCTGAGATGGCCCGGTGTGCACACTGCCAGGAACCCACCCAAGCCTGAGCTTCGCCCCACCCCTCACCCCACTGCCAGGCCCAGACTCAGCCATGGACTCTCAGCACCTGCCTCCCCATCACAGAAGGGACCATCTTCTCTCCACCTTCCACCTGCCAAATGCCCCAGCCCCCGCCCCCCGTGGTCAAGACCAAAGTGTGTGTGTGTGTGTATGAGAGGAAGTCGGGGGAGGGGAGGATCAGACTGAATAGTTGGAAGCAGTTTAGGGGTGTGGGAGCCTCACCATCCACGCTCCACGTGGCTTCGGAGAGTCATGCTTTCTGTGAAATTCATGTGTCCTTGTGGCAGGCTGGCCGGCTAGCTGGGGACATCTGCCTGCCTGTGTGGTGTTCGTGTGCCTATGCCCGGGGAGGTCATCAGGGGCCCCCTCCCCACGTGATCCTTGCTCTGTCTATGCAGGGGCCCCAAAGTCTGCACTTTGTTCCTGTGTCCCAGCCCTGTGGTTTTGTCTGTTGTGTGTGTGTGTGTGTGTGTTCTTTGGTGCTGTGGCCTTGTGTGTCTTTGTACCTGTGTGGCTGTGCTGGTCTCTGAGTCTGCTCTACCTGTGTATCCACTAAGGGGTCTGTCTGTCCATCCCTCTGTTGGTGCTGTATCCTCGGCTTCCCCCCAGTGGAGGGGAGGACCCCACTGCAGCTCCACCAATAAACTTGTATCTAACTGCATGTCTGGACTCTGACTCCGCGGAGGTGGGATCCGAAGGGACCGCCCGCAGCCCTCCCGGCCCCTCACAGGCCGTCAGCTTCTGTCCCTGTCCTTGGATAGAGTCGGATGGAGGCCACCAGCCTCTCCCAGCTTTCCAGCCCCGGCTCTTGACCCAGAAGAGTCCCTTTGTGGGCAGGACAGGGCTGCAGGAGGCAATCCTGGAGAACATTCACATTTAAGAGCTCCAGCCGGCCAGGTCACGTTCCTGTTAGTGGGAAACTGGAACCCTGTGGGGAAAGGGGCCGTGTGGGCTTGGTCCTTGTACTGTGTCTGCAGGGCTGGAAAAGACAGCAAGGTGTGGGTGTATGAATACCATGGCTTTTCTTCACTCTTACTCTCCTGTCTTAAAAACCATATATTTCAAAGACTCTTACAAATCTCCCTCTTCTCTGTCTCCCTCTTCTTGTTTTTCAAGACAGGGTTACTCTATGCAGCCCTGGCTGTCCTGGAACTCATTCTGTAGACCAGGCTAGCTTTGAACTCAGAGATCCGCCTGCCTCTGCCTCTTGAGTGCTGGGATTAAAGGCATGAGCTACCCGTCTCGTTTTTTAAAACAGTCTCACGCAGTCCAGGCTGGCCTTGAACTCGCTGTGTAGCCAAGGATAACCTTAAACATGTCTCCACCTCCTGAGCGCTAAGATTGCAAGCATGGGCTACTATAAGTTTTATGAGGTGCTTGCCAGGAATCAAAACCAGGGCTTCATGTGTGTGAGGCAAGAACTCTTCATAACTGAGACTCACACACACACACACACACACACACACACACACACA